CAAAGATATATATATATATATATATATATATATATATATATATATATATATATATATATATATATATATATATCTGTAGAATTTTGGAATACTTTATTATTTGTTCTCTTAAGCTCAACAAGGCTAGATTTACTGGGAAATATTATTAGAGTTTAAAATAACTATTTTAATATATTTTAAAATGAATTTTATTCCTGTGATGCAAAACTGAATTTTCAGCAGTCAGTACTCCAGTTTTCAGTGTCACATCCCTATCATATCATTCTAATGCATTTAATGCTCCTTTATTATCAATTATTATTGGTTCTCGATTATTAATATTGTTTTTTATTATTATCAGTGCTTTTGAAAAATTGCTTAATATTTTTGTGGAAACTGTTACTTTTTTCAGGATGCTTTGATGAATAATAGTTTCCAAAGAAAAGTGTTTATTTAATGTATTTTTGATCAATTAAATGCAGCCTTGGTGAGCATAAGTGACTTTTTCAACAAAAAACTATTATTCCATATTTTAACCAGTAATGTAGCCAATAGCAGACACTACAAATCAAATATTTATTATATAATAACATATTAGACTGATGGACCCCAGATGCCCCAAACAAGAGAAAAACACATTGTTCCAGTTCCGACCCAATGTGCCAGCAAGACACAAACACACACACAAAAAGAAGCCTGTGGCCTACTTCATCATTCTTTGAAATCAGCTTGTTAGAAGCTGATGAGGTCGTCTATATCTGATGAGTTCTGAATTAAACAGGATGCAATCAAAGTCTACCATTATCTATTCATTGTTTTCTCTGGCTCATATTCTATTTTGGGCACAAAGACTGATATATCCGGAATTCATTCCTTTTGAAACAGCACGAAAGCATGTCGGCAATACTTCAGGATAAGACAGATAGTTCAAACAGGGACTCATTAACAACATGCAGTAACAATCATAAAATAGTAATTTACAAAATTGTATAAGTGACATGAAGTGTGCCCCCAGATATAAAGTGTACCAGGAGTCTAATCTTCTTTGCAAATTGCACATTGAAGATATAATATAACACAATATGAGAAGTTATTATAAAGAAATTATTTTAAAAAATAAAGGAGAAATGTGTAATATAATAGACTAATGGCTTTTATTGTTAAGACGTGGGTTGCCTTTATCCCTTAAAGAAATGCTTTTTTTTTTTTTAATGGCAAAAAATTTAACTGTACTTCTGAGAAATATGATTGGAATTATTTCACTTAAGATGAAAAATTAGTCCTATTAGTGGCCTAGAAATAACTTTTTTTGTGTAAACACAGCAGATGGCCTTTTAACAGCCAATGCCATGTTGAGGGCACATTATAACCTGCCAGGTTATGCAGATGAAGCAACAATGTTTTCTTCATATAGGACTTTTAGCCAATGCACAAGCCACATTACAAAGCATAAACATGAAAATTGTTGGGTTGAATCCAAAAAATATAACTTTCATTAATGTGTGTATATGAGACAACAACAAATCAAAAGATATTGAACTGGTAGCAGTTAGTAAATAAATGTCATGCATCCACAGGCGTCAGTATAAAGTTTAAAACAACTGGCACATAAAAAAAAAAGAACCAGCAAAATGTAAACAAACATAATGAGTGAATCTTTAAAGTTGAATTCAGTCAAATGAGGGTAGACATTTTGCAGTAAAATAACCAGCCTTGTTTTACAAAACATGAATTTCAAGCCAACTTACTTTAAACTCCAGTATATTCCAGAGAGTGTGAACCTGTCCGGTTGTGCACAAGCCAAAGCTTGCAGTAAAATCACATAAATGTGTGGATTCTCCAGACCTGATGGGGGCAGCAGAGAGGCTAATGCTGCTTCAGATAACAACGAACTCCTGTTGGAACTGACTTTGCAGCTAAAGCTTCCCTCCATCCTCACCCAATAAGCACCCAAGTTTCCACAGACTCAACTCTGAAAATAAAGCAGATATACAGTGGTGTTCAATAAACTTAAAAGCACAAGCCAAGACATTTGCGTTTTTTGCAAAACCCATTTATGACTTTGCAAATATAATCCAGCAAATATATTTTCCTTGAAAGCTCTCATTAAAAGCCTGCTAACCTCTAAATAAACCTAAACTCACTGGAATGAAACCGGCAGCAGTATCCACCTTATTTTGCAACGGAAATAGCCTAAGCTATTTTCTGTGAACGTGCATGACTTTCAATTCATTAACCGTCATAGGTAAATAAGTGGAAGAATAACAAAGTGCAGAAAGCAGTAAAACTACTTTTTTTTAAGTGTTTTAAAAAACATATAAGAATACGAACACAAGACTTTTGATCTTTGAAAATGCATTAGGTTGTAACTCATTTAGTAGGTACTTTTTATTACTCAAAAATTAGTTTGTACTGACTTTTCTTTTCAACAAAGTCTAATGTCATAACATCATATTGCAATATTTAATCAAGAGATGTGCATCCACATAGGTCTGGCTAAACTCCGAATATCCACTGACCCTAGAGTCATCTGTGCTCTGTTCAATGGGCCTGTAAAACTGTTCAAGATGTTGCCCATCTGTTCTTTGAACCACAGATCACTAGCTCACAGCGTGGAATAAATTCAGCAATCGCCTCGATTAGGCCTGCAGATATGACTCAGCATTCATGCTATTCAAGGAGTATGAATGCGTCACACACAGCTTTAGAGATCCGTGATGGTGAAATACAGCTGCGGCTTTTATGAGATCAGCAAAAAAAACTGGCAACCACAAACTCTGAAGTGAAGCAAATGAGAAAAGTTCTTATTGGACATAAGAGTGTTGTTCCACTGTACTTAGAAAGCGCTTTTTTTTAAAGTTTGTACAGTTGAAGAGAGCCCATTGTATAATGTTACACAACACTGAGTAATTCTCCGCAGGCTCGTTGGAACAATTGCTCCGTTTCTTTCTAAATTGTGTCTCTGTGTTGGTGGTTCAAGACCTGATTATACGATCAGTAGTTTGTCTTAAGGGAATACGCTTTACTACTAAGTGCTGTGTTGATTTTGGCTTGTTTCTACCCATGGGCAAGCAGAGCTATTGTATACATGCTTAGATTAGAGTATTCCATCTTTGAGTGAAGATTAATGAGATAGATTTATGCTTTTTTTTGTTTTTTTTGCCAAGTGAGTGTGATGGCAGATCATAAGCTGGGTGAAAATAACTTTTCATTACCGTAGTGTTTGAGGTACATGTGCACATACAGATTTTTATCTAGTTTAGATCTAGATTTTTGTGAGAAAACATTACAGAAATGTTTTAAGCTATTCTAAGCAATTCTGATAATCAGTTATAAAAGTAAAAGCAAACCTTTCTTCTTAAGTGTGCAGTTTGATGTATCATTTAGGTCTTTCTCACTCTTAAAAAACAAAGGTTCCAAAAAGCAATGTCATAAAGAAACATTTTGCATTCTTCGAAGAGCGTTTCCAACCAAAAGAACCATTTTTCTTAGTGTAAAGAACAATTTAATAATCTGAAGAACCTTTTTCTTTTTTAAAGGTTGTTTGTGGAGCCATCAATGCCAATTAAAGAACCTTTATTTTTAGAAGGGTAGAGCAAGCAGTCTTAGATGTTATGCACTGAAGTTTAATACCTTCAACTTTACCTTGCCTCAGCACTAAAATGCTTTTGTAAAATCTTTTTTGCAGACTCGGGGTATAGTATTGTATCCACGCTGATAATTACAGAGTTTTAAAATCTTCAACAGAAACAGATAAACTTTCAAAAGGCAGTGTCCTATTTAGCCTGCAAGTTCTCAGTCCATTTCTGAGCTGAGATGGATTGCCGTTCCACCTCAATGCAATCCACATGGCTTTTCTTGACAGGCCACGGTCACCTTACATCAGTTAGAGATGCATTTAATGACCCAAAAATACTGACGTCATAAATAACAGCAGCAGTGAAGTGGGGTCAAGAAACATAGACATGTTCGTGGAACACTATACACTGCCATATAGTATATATGGCCATTTTACTGAGACAAAAAGTCTGCGGCGGAGAAAAAAAAACAGTTTGTATTTTTTCCTGAATAGTTCACCCCAAAATGAAAATTCTGTCATTGTTTGCTCACCCTCCACTTGTTCCAAACATGTATGAATTTCTTTCTTCTGTTGAGCAGGAAAGATGATATTTTGAAGAATGTTGGTAACCAAACACTTGATGGTCATTGAGCCATTGACTTCCATATGGAAGAAAATAGTATGGAAGTCAATGGCTACCGTCAACTTTTTTTTATCCCTTTAAAATAATTTAATGCAATATTTGCTTTAAATATTGTAAAATATTGTTTATTATAAAACAAAATATATAATATTTATAAAATATTTTAAATGTTGTTTACGGGGGAAATTGTAACCCAGTAGGGTTAGTAATTAGGAAACCTGCTTGAAAACAGTCATTGCTCAGCATTAGCAATTCTTAAAACATAAAACAAAAAAATCAGCAGGTTCTAATCAAAGAGCAAATAACACACCGATGATGACTTGTCCTCATTGTAGCCCTTTGTGACAAAAATCTTTATCAAACTGAATTGTGTCATCAGCATCCAGTGAGGTGAAAACGTCCCTATGAACCATTTATCTGCCAGAGAGCAGACTGTTTGGAAATCATTTACGTCACCACTACCTGAACACCAAAGGTTCACGGAGACAAATATTGATTGAATCTGAGCTCTTACGGTCACTGTAAACATATGATCGATAACGCAGAGGACTGAGAGAAAGTTGTTTCTGGTCAAGCCGAACAAAGCTGCGTCAGAAAGTGTCAGAGGTTTCTGTTTGCTTAAATTACATATTTGAACACATTTCTTTATTATCATAACTGATGTGACTTACCAACAAGTCTCAATGCATATATTCAGTGCATAAGTTTTTCCCTATTAAAAAAGTTTTACTCATTAATAAATTAATATTACTGTACTTTCAGGGTTAAAAGTAGGTTTACTCTTTATATCTGAATACATTAATCATAGCTGATTAATATTATATGATTATAAGTTTCTTCAAATAATAATAATAATTTTAGGTTACCTGAGTTTTTCATCTATTTTATTCAAATAGGTTACCTTAATATTCCAATTATATTAGTAAATATGAATGGG